TTCTACCAACGACGATAGGGATAAGTCCTCTTGATTCTAAATCAATGGATCTCCTAAGAAAGTGTTAACTTTTTCCCTAGGTAACGAAGGAAATGTTCTAGATTATATTTTTGTAGAAGTTCCTAACATATCTTATATATATCCAGAAGAGATATAGTGGGAGAAGGAAATTGAAATAATCCCAAGAATCCTGGCATATCAAGAGCCAACACACAGGAGCGCATATACTGGGATACGCAAAAACGTACATGATACTTCTGCAAGTGGATAAGGGAGGAGCAACGGTATTAATGGACAGGAAAAAGTATACGGAGAAAATTGAAGTAGTCTAGACGACCGGAACACTTATCAACTACTAAGTAAGGATATAACCATAAAGATCAACTAGACACCAAAAGATTGGTTAAAGGAAATTCATACTAACGAAGAAGTCGACTAATGGATGATTAACTCTTTAATTTAAAATGACGCAAGGCCATCCACAGCTTACGGGCTACCAAAGATACAGAAGGAAGGAAATCCGATAGGATTTAGAGTCAACAACAAGAACGGAGCTACACACAAGCTAGGGAAATTCATTTGCTTGAAGCTCACCAAAGTAAATAACAAACTCTCGAATACTGTGAAGAATTCATATGCATTTTCTAAGGGAATCCCAAACATTGAGCTGGTTAGGATGGAATCGTTAGTAAGTTTCGACGTACAAACTATGTACACAAACATTTCAGGCGAGAAGGCGAGAAGCGCCCTGTTCGAGATCTTAGAACGAGAAGAGGATATGAAAGGAGCCCTTAACACGACTGATCAACCTGACAGTAACAACCATCTATCTTATATATTACGGCAGTATCTATGGGCAAATATTTGGAGTGCCAATGTGATCCCCACACTTACCTCTTTGGAGAAATATATACATTGACAAATTGGAGAGGAAATTTGAGAAGTCACCACAACAACCAAGAGAACTTATGCGTTACCTGGATGACTACTGTGCATCTTGGTCGCATGGTAAGGAAAGTTTGAATGGATTTTACAATTTTTTTGACAAACTTGATGAACGAATGAAATTCACATTGTAGGTGGAGGAGGATGAACGATTACCATTCCTGAATATTGAAGTCATTGGCTCCAACGGGGCACTCATGAGAAGACTATTCAGAAAGAATTAATATGTGGGAAAAATCCTTAATTTTCACTCTAGCCATAAATACAGACTAAAGATCGGAAGACTGATGCGTTTGAGCATCAGAAAGTTAAGACTAACGGACAATGAAATCTAGGACAAGGAGTTGCACACAGTGACTCGGATTTCCCTTAGCAGCGAAAACCTCTGAGAATATATGGAAAAAAAGCTGGGTGTCATTATGAGCAGATTTTATCTCGGATTTTATGAAAATTAAATCTGGAACCATGAAAAGGACTAAAAGTGGATGCCCTGCTATCATGTGGACTGAGACTAAAAATTTCAGCTGTTACTAAGAAAATGACAACAGAGGAAAGGACATCACTTCACCATCCTGCCAACGCAACACAAGAAGGCTGAAGATCCATATAGCTCGGAAGATTTTTTCATTAAATGTGGCAACTTTGAGTATAAATATGGTGAAAATGTAAGTGAACGCAAGATCCGAGAAAACATCGTTATCCTGACCGGTTGAAATATGGTGAACAGGGGACTTGAAAAAGGCAGGATCAGCGGAAACTTTGCATATTGCCTCGGTAAACTCGGAGAAGATTAGGCAACAGTAAATTCAGCAAAAAGAAGACGACTTGATCAAGGTAAAATCCTTAATTTTCGGAAACGAAATGGCAAGAAGACCAGAAAAGAATAATCGGGAACCAAGAGGAAGCGTCCACAGTGAGCATAATCAAAGCAAGCAGAACCACAACATTCGTGGGTTGACACACCAAAGACTAGGGCATAGGACGTCATAGACTTGGCATTATGGATAGAAGCACGATAGATATGGTGGAGACTAGAATTGGTTAGCTTAAAGTAGACGTATTTAATGGTAA